AAAGCCATATTGCAGAATATTGGGAAGCTGTATTTTTATTTTTGAAATGAAGTTATCCCCATCTGTGGATTTTTCTTTTCAGAAAAGCACTCAAAATGAGCAAGTGTTTTTCTCTCACTTTAAAATATGTGAGTCAAAAATTCAAAAAAAAAAAATCAAATAGCTGACAGTTTTAAAAAAAATAGAAAATGCACAGGTATCTACCAAATTTAGAGAGGAAAAGTTTTCACAAGCCTCTACGCCAGAGACCTGCTGTGCATGGATTCAGTGAAGTCTGCTCTGCTTTTAATTTAGGGCCTGCTGTGTTGCTCCAAAATGTAGAACAGAGACGTGCCTGAATATCTGTGTATCACCTCAAGATGAACAAACCAAGCTGCACCCTATGTCAACAAGGACAGCAGGTCTTAGCCCTCTGCTTCTACCTCTGCCTCCCCTTTAGAAATGGGAGGAACAGCACCATGGAGGGCAGCAGATGGAGCTGATGCACTCCCATAGGTTAACATCATGGCCTCCGGAGTTCCTGAACTAACGCAGGTAAGTGGTAAGGCAAGTGCTTTCTACTGACACCAGGACTTGAGGATCCTGAGAGTCATGAACTTGGTGCTGAGTCTCCACTCCTAGGCAGGATGCTATGTCTAGAGTGTGGGGAGAGATTAGCAGTAAGTGCCTGATTCATACACTAAGCTCTTCAATGGCCTCTGAATTGCCAATGACACACATGCACAGATACCAGGAACATCTTCCAAATCCAATGGGTACATATTAGGTAATGCACCTGCTTCTGATACCTTGGGTGACACCCTAGAGATTCCAGAAGTGTCACTGGAATCTGGCCAAGAGCAATCTCAGGGATTCCAGGCAAGGAGGCTGGCAACTGGGTAGCAAATACAGCAAAGTATAATTGTCCCAGGACTCCTGCTCCTGCCTGTCCCCAGGGCTTCTCTGTGTTCACCTGCCTTCTCCCCCAGGTTCCTGCCCAGCCCCAAGGAGCTCCAAAGTCTGAATCAGGATGGTAGCTTAGACTGAAGTTAGTGCTGGCATATAGCTACATGAGTCAACCAAGTTTCTCTAGTCTTACCTGAGATTAGGCCATGATTGACAATACTACTACTCCCATTGAATTCCTATTAACAGAGTCAAAGAGCTTTGGAAACAGAACCTTTTAAGAAACTGGAGACTCCTGTTAACCATGATCCTCGTGGCTGACCTGCACTGGCTACCTGACTACCCAGTATAGGGACTCAAGGTCTGTGTCACATCCCAAGGTGGTAGCAGCCCTGATGCTTCACCCTCTACAAGACACGTGTGCTGCAGAGGCCTGGACTTCTTCTCCAGGTTCAAGGTTCTCAGGCTCCTTGGATTTATGGTACAGGAGAGCTTGAAGAGAATACAGGGTGAGCACCACCAGAACAATCCATAGCTTCTCTTCAGGTCCCATTTCCTGCAGCAGAAGCCTCTTGGAGGATGCTCCCCTGCATGTGTGGGTGGAGCCAGTTCCTTAGGTCTCCATGTTGCTCCCCAAAGAAGATAAGTCTCATCTGAATGACATTCCACTCCCACTTCAAAGACACTGAACTTCCGGCACCCTCTCTGTCATTTCATTGCTTCCTCAACCCTTATCACCCATCAAGCTCACTGATGCTCCCCCAATAGCCTCAGCACCCACCTTTCTGGCTAAAGCCCAGATCCCTACTTTTTGCTGAGCTCTCTCAGACTCCCTCCTGTCCCCCTCCTTACACAGCAGACAGATATGACTCAAAGATGACCTGCTCCTGATGGACTCTGAGCTCCTATGCACAGAGACTAAATCAGTCTCCCTCAACAGACAGTATTTGTTTTATTCATTACTTACTATTGCTGTGGAGACCTTAAGACCAAAGGGGCCAGAACTCCTATGGGCCATTCTTTAGAGACCTTAAGCACAGTAACTTAAGGTCTCTAAAGAATGACCCACAGGAGTTCACATGAGGACAGGACCACACACTTAGAGGAGGACAACAGAGACAAGAGAAGCAAGTGGGGATAGAGTGGAGGTGGGGAACACAGGCAGGTACTATCCTACTCCATATTAAAGTAAGCAGTAAAAAATGATGAGGCTTGAGATGGCTCTGCTGCTCTTCCATAGGTCCTGATTTGGTTCCTAGCACCCATGCCAGGCAAATTACAACTTCCTGTAACTCCCAATACTAGAGGATCCAACACAACTTCTGGCCTTAGCACAGAAATGCATACATTAAAAAATAATAATAAATTTGGCCTGTGCTGGCTCATTTTATGTCAAGTTGATACAGGGTAAAGTCATCTGAGAGGAGGGAACCTCAATTGAGAAAATGTCTCCTTAAGATCTGGCTGTAGGTGGAGACCCTGGCAACAAAAGTAGCTACCACTGTTAGTTAATCTTTCATTCTATTGGGCACGATAAATTTAATTCAGTAGTTATATATACATCTCGATTGGCTTTGAAAATTATAAATTTATAAACTCAAGTTCCAGTTGCTTTTGGGATGCTATCTTACAAGGACTTCAACGTACAGTATGGCTCGTTAAGGAAGGGAATGGCTCAGTTGCCTTTAGCCTACTGGCTATGGGTGAGATAGGATCTCTGTTGGTCTTTTCTGTATTGAACACATAGATTGCAAGCCAAGGGCCACTTTGAGATCTTTGGCAGCAATTAACTATGCAGCACACACACACACACACACACACACACACACACACACACACAGATTGAGCCTGTATGATAATGAGTATTCAGAGATGGGTAATACCTGGGGGGCACTCACCAAACTAAGACAGAGCACCTGTGTGGCCTGGGCAGGCGTCTCCATGATGGGTAAGGTGACCTGCTGACGTCCCACACAACCCAAGTCAGAAGCTTATTTTTTAATAAAAGAGGGACCTGTAGGGCCCTGGCCCCCCGTTTTGGGTAACTGTTGTCTTGCTTGGGGACCTTGACCTATGCTAATTCCCTGCCAGGTTTCACCCTCCTGAATGCTTAAGGGAAGTCCCTTGTCTGTGTATCCTGAATAATGGGTGTTAACAGCTTAGATGCAAGATTGTAAAACATCAGTGGCGAACTTCTGCCCTCCAGGGTCCTCCCATTGTGCTGTAAGCCTGTATTTAAGACCTCCTTCCCCTTCAAGAAATGACATTAGGCATTTAAAATTTAATATATATATATTAATATATATATATAATTGAATGAATACTGCGAATGTAATCTATGAATACCACAAATGTGATTAATATCATGAGTGTAATTAATATCATGAGTGTAATTTTAAAAAAATCAAAAAAAAATCTGGCTGTAGGCAAACCTGTTAGGCATTTTCTTAATTAGTGATTGATAGGGAAGGGTCCAGTCCATTGTGGGTGTGGCCACCTCTGGGCTGGTGGTCCTGGGTTCTATAAGGAAGCAGGCTGACCAAGTCATGAGGAGCAAATCAATATGCAGCACCCCTCCATGATCTCTGCATCAGCTCCTGCTTCCAGGTTCCTGCCCTGTTTGATTTCCTGCCATGACTTCCTTCAATGATGGACTATAATGTGGAAGTTAAGTAACTCCCAACCCCAAAGATCATGGTGTTTATCATAGCAATAGTAACCCTAACTAGAACAGTGGTCCAACCCTTTAATCCCAACACTCAGGAGGAAAAGGCAGAGGAGTTTCTGAGTGAGGCCAACCTGGTCTACATAGAGTTCCAAGACAACCAAGGCTACATGGTAAGTTCTCGTCTCAAACAAACAAAACAATGAAAAAAAAATTTAAACTGCCTTTAAAAAAAAAAATAAAATCATCAAAGTCAAACTCATCCAAAGTCACTGTAAGAAGGGTTCTAGTAAGCCAGGTGGTGGTGGTGCACACCTTTAGTCTTAGCACTCAGGAGGTAAGGCAGGTGGCTCTCTGAGGCCAGCCTGGTCTACAGACTGAGTTCCAGGACAGGCTCCAAAGCTACATAGAGAAACTCTGTCTCAAAAAAAACAAAAAAAAAGGAAAAAGAAAAAAAAAAGGATTCTAGCCCCAGACAGTGGCAACACAGAGGTCAAACTGTGACCCAGTACTTCAAAACAAGCCACAAGAGCCAGTTCAGCATTAAAGTCTTATTCTTCAACATCTAATGATTGTGACTACACCAATGATCACAGTGCAGCTATGCAGAGGGGACTCTGAGAGGTGCGTAAGGACAGTCCATTTAAGAGGTAAGGAAGTTGAGGTTCTGAGATGTGACATTCACAGTCTGTCTGGATCTAAATCTCTGCTCATTGTCACAGTGCTGCATCCAAGACAGAGCTAGAGCTGATGCACAGATGCGCAGAGCAGCAAGAGCCTGCTTTCCAGATGCTTCAGATAGAATGTGCAAATGCCACGTGTGCCAGCGTCAGAAACTGAGTGATTCCCCATTCTTCACTTCAGTGATGTCAGGTTGGTTACAATAAGGGTGGTAGTGATGGCTATCTCCTCCTCCAGGTGCTCACGGCCCCCCTTTCCTCCTTGATCCTTCTCCTCCCTCTTCTTTTTACTCAAGAGTTCATTTTCTGATATACACTGCCCATCACTAGTTATTAGGGCAGCTACTCACATTCAGACTACTATTCTTCATACAGATGCATCCCAGTGCACATGGACACACATCTGACAGTGGGAGCCATTTTGTTCACGGCATGTTTTAAACATGCAGCTACATTTTGGCAGAATGGAATATTTAACCTGGTGTTACTTGAGATACCTATGCTCTTAACTTAGACCCCAGTTCTGCAAGCAGTCTCAGAATGCTCCTTCCAAGGCCTGGAATTCCTTCTTCAAGTCTCTTTGGCTGCCCAGGGTCAGCTCCTCCCCAGCATGTGCTCCCATGATTATGCATGTGCTCTTAACAATCCTGAAGCTCTGGGGCATCACCCATCACTACTCCCACACCTTCAATGCCCGTGTCTCCCTCTTATTCTTCTCCATTAGTCTCACACACCCAGACACCTGCACCTCATTTTATCCTCCTACTTACCGCAGAGACAGTTTCTTTCCGAAGCAAACCTGGGTGCTGCTGATGGAAGGCACTGTTCCATCATGACTCTCCCCACTCGTGGCCACGGCCAGCCGTCTCATTAGAGTCCACCCTCCTGAAAACGGCTTCCTGCCCCTACCTCCTCGCCTCCACTACTAGCCTTCCTCGGCCATTTTCTCTGGTTTCTTGCTGCCCCTTAAACAAATCAGGAAGCTAGGTGTGGTGGAGGACAGCCTCGGATTACATGCCAAAACCCTGACCAAGAGTGCTCGCGCGCGCGTGTTTGTTTGTGTGTGTGTGTGTGTGTGTGTGTAATTGCAAAAGAATAAATTCAAAGAACGAAAATAGAAAAGGTCTGGGTGGACCTGCGTGTGCACTGGCTGTTCCCACTTCTACCAGCTGCCCAAGACTTCGCAGGGCTTGCACTCTTGTCTCCTCCAATCGCTCTCTTAAGATGCCAACGCTCCTGCTCCTCCTTCTCCTTTCCCTCCTTCTCTGCCATGTTTTTCTTATTGTCTCTTCTCCATTGAGGAGTAACCTCCACCAGGACAGATGAAATCAACTCTACATATGCAGCGTTCCAGCCAAGACTGAGAACAGGCAGGAGACTGCTAAAAGGCAGACCAGCATTTGTGGAGTGGGGAATGCTGTGGTTTGGAACAACTGCCCTCTAGTGGTACAATACGCCCACTGCCAACTTCACAGTATCTATGAAAGTTGATTTCCAATACGTCAAGCCCACCAGCGAATAATCCCTCTTTATGCTTTAAAAAAAATGAAAAATAAAAAAACACCCACAATAAAAGCAAAAATCGACAACAGCTCCCTAGGGCTATACTAAGAGATCAAGGGCCCCTCTGAAGTAGCATTCTGATGCTAACGGTGCGCAGAGGCTAAGAAAGATACTGGGGCAAGAGAGCGTGGGAGATGGGCAAAATTACGCACTCAGGTGCTGGGCTCCAGATGCTGGTGGCTCAGAGGCCCCGCCTGCCCACTGCCGAGCGCTCTCTATCTGCAGATTCACGGAGGTACCGCGTCTCCGTTGGCTCAGCTGTGGGGAAGGGTCTGGGCCTACGGGCAGCGAGTCCAGCCGGCTGCAGATGCAAGTCTGAAGGCCTTAAAGACGCAGGCCTGGGGGCGTCGCGTCCTAGCCTTCAACACGATTCGAGAAGGCCACCTGTACCTGCCGGTGGACTATTCCGAGGCGTTCTTCCCACGGCCTGCAGCGGCTACGCGTGTCCAAGCTCAAGACGGCTCGCGCAGACGCAGTCGGCGCGCGGTGCGCTCCCGGCAGCCCCCGCGGCACCGGCCGTCGGAGGAGGCGGAGGGGGATGACGTCATCCAGCGGGGCGACGGGCATTGGGCGCCATTTTGAAAAGGGAAAAAATTCCCTCCCCGGCGGCGGCGGCGGCGGCGGGAGCGGCGGCGGCGGCCGAGGCTGAGCGCTCGTAGCGCCTCGGTCGGCCGCGCTCAGCTGGGCGCGTCCCGCCCGCGCCATGGCAGGTAAGAGCCGTGCGCGAGCGGGCGGGTGGACGGACGGTGGTGGGACGGGGCGGGGCCGGCCTGACGGCGCGCTCTGTTGCAGGAGCCGGAGGAGGCGGCTGCCCGGCGGGCGGCAACGACTTCCAGTGGTGCTTCTCGCAGGTGAAGGGCGCTGTCGACGAGGACGTGGCGGAAGGTGAGACCCGACCGACCCCCGAGCCCCGGGAGCAAGGTCACGCTCCGCCGCCGGCCCGATTGCGGCCGCCGGTGCCCTCCTGGCCGGTGCTGTCCTGTGAGACCCTCGGCCGAAGAGAGGGAGGGGCGGCTGTAGGGAGCCTGCGTGGGGAGAGACTGCGGCGGAGGCCCGCCTCGGGGATCTGTTGGGGAGACGGCAGTGGACCCTAGCCTTGGGAGGCTCTGGGGGGGATGGCCGTGGACGCCAGCCTCGGGGGGTCAGTGGGCAGATGGCCGTGGACGCCTGCCTCGGAAGACTGTGGGGAGTCTTGAGGAGGTAAGGCGGGAGACACACATCAAACCGTGCGGGGTAAAGTAGGTAGGTCTGTGGCCACAGTCCTCTGGAGTCTAGGGTGTACAACTGTCTTAAATGCGGGCCCCCAGAGTCTGTAGGGAGGCAGGGCTGTAGACACTGGTCTCTGACCGTGGCCCTGGGATTGAGCTAAGAGTTGGTACGGTAGGGTAAGATAGGAGGCCCATATGTTGGGGGGTGGAGGGGCATGGCCGTTGGTCTTGAGGCCCTGTGGGGTAAATCATGTCTCACACACTGATGTCGGGGCCCGTGTGGTATAAAAGGGGACCGTGGACTCTGGTCTCTTTGGGGCCTGTACAAGGGAAAAGGAGATCCATTCAAGACTTTTGGTCTCTGGGGCCCATTCGCGAGACTGAACTCTTGAGACATTGTGTGCTCCGGGTGCCCTCCTCAGTGGATGTAGGTGTGCCAGTCTGCCCAGTCCGATCTCAAGCCAGAGAGACACTGGTCAGCCCTGGGCTTCCATGTCTTTCTTGGTCGTGAGGATCTGCAGTAGTGGCATTCCACTGCTGAGTGTCTTCTCTTCCTCTGCTGCTCTTTCAAAGTCACCCCTCCAGACTTCGTTCTCGGGTTTTTTGGGTTTGTGTTGGTTGGTTGGTTGGTTGAGAAAAGTTCTTGGTTTTGTAGCCCCGGCCGGCCTTGAACTCCAAGGCCGTCGAGTCTGCCCCATCCTGCCCAAGTGCTGGGATGTCAAGCACACACTTAGCTTTCTTTTCTACGCTTTTATTTATTTATATTGTGTGTGTGTGAGTGTGTACTTTACTCTGCACAGGTCAGGGTTAAAGGACAACTTCTTGGAGTTGATTCTTTTTACCTTATGAGTCCCAGGGATTGAACTCGGGTCATCAGGCTTAACAGCAGGTGACTTTACCTGCTGAGCCATCTGACCAGCCCCCCTCCTCACTTATTCCTTAAAATTTGTTTACATATTTTGGGGTGTTTTGGTTTGTTTGTTTTGTTTTTTTTTTTTGAGACAGGGTTTCATGTAGCCCAGATTAACCTCAAACTCCTTGTGTAGCTGAGGCTGGCCTTGAATTCTTTTTGTTTTTGTTTCTTAAGATGGATTTCTCTGTGTGACAGCCCTGGCTGTTTTGGAATCAGCTCTGTACACCAGGCTGCCCTCAAACTCATAGAGATCCGCCTGCCTCTGCTTGGAATTGAAGGTGGGATGTCAGGAATGCTAGGATTAAAGGCGGACACCACCACACCCGGCTTTGGCCTTGAATTCTCTTCACCACAATGCCCTGCTTTCTGTAAGACTGTTGCTTTGTCTTTCCCCTAATCCCAGCTTTAAATGTGCTGTGGCTGGTTAGTAGACAAGGAACTAAGAGAGCTTGAGGGTTGTGGAATCGATTCTTAGAGACTGGAGCATCAGCATTTTATAGTAGAACTATTGAAACTTGTTCAGCCATCTAATAAACATGGACCTTTCCCTTTCTTTTAAAAGAAGTCTGTTCACCCCACCCACCTTCCTTGCCACTAGCAGCCTCTTCTCAGATGTCTTGTCCTGCTTCTTGTTTCCCCCTTCACCCTGTCTCTTCCTGCCAGTGTCTGGCCTGACTCATGACCCTTGAGAACATCTGGAGGTCTGTGGTCCCAGGGGACAGACAAGACCAGACCAGGTAAAACTGCTCTCTGAAAAGTTGCAGAGATACGTGGTTTGAGATTGAAGCCAGATGACTTTTATGTGAAGTAGTTTATTGATTTTGTTTCTTCTGTGTTGGCATAAAATGTATTACTGTGTTTCATTTTGCATGTGCCAAGTAGGTGACAGGTCAGCCTTACTTCTGTGATTATTGTAGCTATGGGAATAATGGTGGTAAGAAGGTGGGTTGGCCTTAATTTCTGGTTTCTGTATGGTTTGGTTTGGTTTCCATTGGTAAGTTAAATGAAAATAAACTGACTTTATACTTTGGAAAATGGTGTTCTTTCCTTTATAAATCTTGACAGAAGTATTTTGTTGCTTGTGTTAAACTGATTAGAACTTCTTGTGTTTTGTTTTAAATTTTGGTTTTTTTTAGACAGGGTTTCTCTGTGTAGCTTTGACTGTTCTGGAACTCTGTAGACCAGGCTGGCCTTGAACTCAGAGATCTGCTTGCTTCCACCTCCCACCATAAAAGGTTGTGTTGATAGCCGGGCGTTGGTGGTACACGCCTTTAATCCCAGCACTGGGAGGCAGAGCCAGGCGGATCTCTGTGAGTTCGAGGCCAGCCTGGGCTACCAAGTGAGCTCCAGGAAAGGCACAAAGCTACACAAAGAAACCCTGTCTCGAAAAAAAAACAAAAAAAAAAGGTTGTGTTGAGACTAAAGGCGTGTGCACACCACCTCTGCCCATCCTTTGTATTATAGTAAAACTTTGAGTACATCTAAAATTTTAGTTAGTAAAATTTTAGTTAGCAAGTCTTTTGTATGTGTGTATAATATTGTGATAATTACCTGTATTTTTCTTTTTAATTGTATGTGTTCACAGTTTTCTGTTTTAACACACATACTTCTTAATTCATCATTTATAATTTCATCGCTTTTTGTCAGACAGAGCTGTGGTATTGTTTGATTTATCAGTGATGGTTTAAAAAGGCAAAGGTAGTCATTGGCAACTAGGACTTGTTGTAACAACAAGAATCACTGCCCCAGTCCTATCCAAACTCAAGCTTGAAGAAATGTTGGTGAGAGATAATTAAAGGTGGCATTTCAAGGGGTTTATTTCGTGTGCTGATGCTTGGATTTGAGAACTTAAGATATGGCAAAATTTATCTGTTGAAACTTGTAGCTGGTGAGACTTTTTGCTCAGCTCTGCAAAATTCCATGTAGCCCTGCTCCTGGCTTGTCTTTCTTTGGTCCTGGGCATAGGCAGTCAGATGTGTCCTAGAGGTTAAGTCTGAGGTCTTCTGACCTGGCAGGCAATACCCAGAGATCATGGGGGACAGAGGGTAGGGTGTAAATAGACAAGCCAGGCAGAGCAAGATGAAAAGGGCTTTTGTTTCCTGTTTTTAACCTAATAGCCTCTGATACAGTATTGAACTGTGCACACTTTGATTACTTTTATGTATATAAGAATGAGATTTTTGCTGTGAGTCCAGTTACCATTTCTGCTCAAAACTATGGTTTCATTGTGTGGTTGGTGAGTCCTTTATGCCTGCAAATGGGAGCAAGCTGGGCATACAGGGAGATTAGTAATTGTCCTACTGATGGCCAGATGTGAGAGTGACTGACAGTAATGATTGTTTCTCCTTCTCCTGTTGGAGAGTAGACTAGGAAGCCAGAATCAAAATAGCAAACCTAGGGGACTTCCAAGTACTGGGCTTTAGTCACTGCTTTAGGGATTAATTATTTGGGCAGATTTTGTGATGTGCAGTGATTCAACCACCAGCTCCTGCTCTCTATTCCTGAACATTCTTCCTGCAGGTGAATATTGCGTGCCATTACAACCTTTTGCATGTTTGTACTTGGTACACTGAGTCCTCAAGCCTAAAGGCTTGTTTCCTAGGCCTTGCACAGGATCCAGCCATAAAGCGGTGATAGCTAACATTGAGTGCTTTGTGTGCCAGAAATTGTGCGGGAGCACTGCCTGTGACAGTTAATTTTACCTTTACCCATCTGAGAGGCTGTTCTTCCCAGTTTCAGATGCACAAACAAGGCACAAAGAGTGGTCACCTCAGCTCCATAGCCATATTAGAACAGAGGCTGCCTGTTTCCAAGGCCTGTGTGTGCTTTGCTGCTCTAGTAACCACTTTTAGCCAGCCCTGGGGAAACCCCTTGCAGAATCTATCTGTTGGTTAGCAGAAATTGTCCCACTAGCCGTTGAACTAAAATGCCTTTGAAAACACAGGAAAACCGCATGCTTTAAAAAGGAATGTTTATCGCCTGGAGTGGTAGAACATGCCTTTGATCTCATCACTCTGGGAGGCA